CTGTCTTCGTGAGTCCCACCACGCCATTGCCGAAGAACAGGAACGTGGAGACTATTTCTCCACTATCGCGGGGGGATCCTTGTGACGGAGGGGTTCGCGATGAGATGACAGAAGAGGTCGGCTGGGATTCTCGAAGCACAGTGCAGCCTACACACCTAGGGAAACCATGTTTGTCACTTTGTTGCTGCCAGTAGGGGGTGGCCTGAGTGTGAGGGGTTAAACGCGATGTTGGATGAGAATTTTGATGATGATGATGATGATGATGATGATGATGTGAGACAGACAGTATGATAGAGACACAGGAATGAGAAAAGGTGATTGTGATTATCATTGCTGCGTAGGTGTTATCATATGCCCCTCTTTTTGCGAGAATAAAACTGGCGTAGACACATGTTTCCCTCTCTCTCTCACACACACTCTCACTCTGGCCCTCTCCAACCGCAACCTACATATGCAATGCATCTGGGATAAGACGGGCTGCAGCCCAAGGCGTGCGCCCAGCCAGCCCAGCAATGTGGGCGAGATTTGGACGAGCTTCGGGAAACAGGGCTGGTTCAAATGTCCTCAAACCTGGCGGCCATGCATCAGAACCAGAGAGCCGCTGGCCGTTTGTGGCCTGACACGTCGTCGCAAGCCATCTTCGACGAAGGGGAACCATCCCATTGGGATCGCCATTGCGATTGCTTGCAGACGATGACATCGGCATTTTGCTTGGAGCCCTCGAGGGAATTGATGCCATTGTGCAACACCTCTTGGTGTAAAGCTGGCGAATGCCAATTGGTCTCGCGCTCTCCGGTTCAGCCCGGCGTTGCTTTCTCATCATGGAGGGTCAGCCAGCCTCTATCTAGGTAGCTGTGCCTCTGCTCTGTTTGGAGGGTGTCCTGTGAAACATTGGGCCCGTCACTTCTCAGTCTCGCTCGGGTCGTTGGGCTTGGTGGCCGTTTGTCCGTGGGCAAGTGGAAAGTGCGTGATTTTGCATGACACTACTCTGATAGCATCAAGCAATTGACGATGTGTCGATGGCATCCCTTCCCACGTTACGTCTCATTCGGCACAACTGTGCATGTTTCCAATCGCCGCGGGCTAAAATTCTGAAATCCGATCAGCGGGGTATCCCGGGCCCGCTAAAATTCGGCAACGCCAGGCCGTTGCGGGGCTTTCTGGGCAGCTGGGTGACGCCAGAGCCAAAGAGGAAAGGCATCAGCCGACGCCGCACAGGGGGTTTGGAGCTTTTTGCAGGGTGGCTGCATGTCTGGAGCTTTGGTTATCAGATGCTTATCAGCTTGTTTCCTCTGCTCTTGTTCTATACCAAGTGCTTGGTTCCTTGTCTTGAATAGCTGGAGAGTTTCGAACCCCTAAAAGCTGATCACCGCCTTGTCAGGCACCAAACTGGAGTTGCTGGCGGAGCTCAATTGCAGTTTGTTTACATTTTGTGCCATCTGAGGCCCGCAAAAAATGTCGCTGTTGTCTAGCTGCTGCTTAGCTGGACACGTGGGGGTCGCCGCGGCCGTTGAGATGCTTCCGTAGTGGGGTCCTGTGCTTACTTTAACCTCAGCTTGACAGCCGACCACAACCTGACCGCGATAAATGTGTTCTGGACCTCTTGGAAACTCCATTGGGTTTCTGTTGTCTGAGGGATAAAACACTTTGCGGATACTTTTCCCCTCCTGTCTACCAGCATCGCAACAAGAGTCTGCGGAGCGGTCTGCCGGGCCGAAAACGAGATAAACGAACGAGCCCAACCGAAGAGAATGAGGATCCTGTCAATGCTATGCCAGATGTTCATTGACGATGCTGATTTATGAATGTACAATTCTATACTCCCAAGGCTTGGGCCACACACGGGATGCTCGAACGATCAATTATGCCAAAAAATACTTCGAATGAGGAATATTGGGTGCAACCACTTCGAAGCAACTTCTCTTCGAGCTCGGCACACTGAGGTGGTCTTCACCGTGGGCAACAGAACCGGTCATGCTGCATTACTTCATCCCTACCATCGACGGTCATCTCCAGCAGATGGCATACTTGTCTTCCAAATATACCGACAGCCTCGTGATATGTTGCCTTGCTGTTTCATCAGTGCTCGAATCCTCAAGGGGCTGTTGCCAACACGTCTAAACCGAGTAGGGTGACAGGTGACTTATTGTGACATGTACAACTCTGAATATCATAGAGCTCAGATCAAATCCGAGTATCGTCGAACGGTGATACTGAATTCATCCGTGACATAGCAGGGTGGTCAGGTCTTAAACTCGCGGCATATTTAACATATATCAGCCGATGGTTAGCAACTAGAAGTCCGGCATCTTCTTTGCCACCTATCACCCGGTCATCCAGCAAGGCCCCGACTCAAACAAAATGAAGCTCACCATCGTCCTCTCCATTCTGGCCACTCTAGCCAGAGCCTCGCCAACTCCACCAGCCGACGCGGAGCGCAGCATCGACCTTAATTACTGGCCTTACACCAACGGCCTCAACTATTGCGGCCAGACTCTTGTTTCGACGGGAAAGTCTTTTATCTACTCTTCCTAGGTAGATAGTTACCGATAACCCATCTCCAGGCCGACCCCGCAACGACATCGTCACCTCCTGCGCGGGAGCTCCCTCCTGGCTTGCTGCTGACAATGTGGACAACGTTCTCTTCATTGCGGATTTGCGAATACAATCAGTTTTGTCATGAGCTGTGGGGGTTGTGTTAATGCTGGGCCTGCTAATAATGATTATTGTGGCTAGATGGGGATAATGGGGGTGTGTTGGGCGGCGGAAGAGGTTTGGTGGAGGATGGGACTGTGTCTGTTGCTTACCTAGGTGTTCAAATTCAACATTTGGCTGGTGCTATCGTATGATACCGGTTCCTGGATATTTTTGCGCCCACCTCGGTGGTTGTTCTTAATCTTGCAACACCCGCATCAAAGATACACAGACGATTTATGAGCTTCCATCTGTTATTGGGTCCCTTCCTGTCAGCCATCAATACCTAGTTGCTGCCGATGATACGAAATAAAAACCACATGAGTTTTGTGTCCTGTAGCTCAGTGATAATGAACAAAGTGACTCAAATTGAACAGACCACCTCTCTATGACCGAAAAGCCATGGCCAGTTCTATCTTCCATCCACCACACATGGATTTGGAAAATGAGTCTCGCCATCCTAAAACTCACTTCTCAAGTGACGGATGATTATTTGGAGTTTTTAGACCGAGGAAACGGTTCTCGAAACACCCAGACCGAGTATGGTGAAAGGCAGGTACCTATGTAACCCTCTCATGTGATGTGTTACTTGAAGCCTTAGACCTCAGACCAGCTCTGAGTTTTGTTGAACTGTGGCTCTGAAGTGGTTACGCGGACATGAAGTGGTGTCGTGATGTGATAGAGAGGAGAAGATCAATGCAATCTATAAAGACCACAGCGAAGACGTTGATCTACTGTAGGCAAGTATCTTTCACCTCAGATCAACCACTCCCATCAACCATCAGGTTTTCATGATCAAACATTACTCAAACATCATGAACTTCATCCTCACCCTCTCCATACTGGCCACACTGGCCACAGCCTCACCGGCTCCCGCCCCAGCCTCTGCACTGTACGGCTGCACCGAAGGCCTGAACTACTGCGGCCACACTCTTCTCAACATGGGTATGCCTCCCGACCCATCCTCCTGTGCAATGTTCTGCTAATAAGAGACTTCAGGCTGGTCCCGTGACAATATCATCGACGATTGCAGCGGTAGACCCGACTGGCTCAGTGCCAACAGTGTGGACAATGTCCTCTTTCATTGCACAAGCGGAGACTACCTCACGTTCATTGAGAGCTGCAATGCACCTGGTACTTGTGTGGATGCCGGTTCTGGTAATAGCGATTATTGCAGCCAAGATCATCTTGAACAAGGTGACGGTCTAAAAAGGTGTTTGGCAAGAAATTGATACAGAGGCGAGAGCTGGTGGAAGAGATGGATGAAATTGCTCAGTACCGGAGGATTTTCCCCAGGTGGAAACAATATCTACTACCAGGTAGTTTTTTGAGACTTCAAGTTCAACACTTGAAAAATGTTATCACTCATTTTCCCTACTACAAAACACCTACCTCTATCCTGGCTATGGCAAACCAAGAAGAAACCCCCTATCCTATTATGCAAGCTCCCTTTTTGCAGCGGGATCAAAAGATGCCCAACTCTATGCGTTCCCGCGAAATGAAACGTCCGTTTGCATGTTTGGGTCCAACGTTTTCACCTCTCCCTTTCACTCGAGGACTCAAACCTCAGCTATGGAGTCCGCTAGATTCTAAACATCACAAGCTTCTCAGTTGGTAGAACCCTACTAGCATCAACGGACTTCCTACTACGGAAGCCATCCAACCCCCTTCCCGGCAGACACCCTCCAGCAGTGACAACATGGTCCGCAAGAACAGAAACAGACACAAAAACACCAAAGACCAGGCCCAACCCCCCGCCATCGTCGCTAGATTCGACGAATACTTCGGCGCAGGGGACCTCCAAGACTGGCAGTGTCTCTGTTCCGACATCTTCCGCGAGGACGAGCTCAAAAGCTTTGACCTGTGCAGCAAGACTAAATGCCGAAAGGTACCTACCTGACTCACCTGCCATATCACCACCGATACTGACAACGAAAAACATAGCTCTTAAAAACCGTCTTCATCAACATCCAAGACCTTGTCGACTGCATTGAGAAAAACCTCACTGGGGAACACCCCAAGGTATACCCGCAGCGCTTCGCCAGCCTCAACCAACTCGTCAAATACACCATGAAGGAGGGAAAAGTCTACCCCAAGAAATGGGTCAAGAATGGGCTGGGACCTGTCAAGGCTTTGATGAGGGACATATTAAGAGGGTCATGATATCGGTTGTGGGGAAAGCTGAGGGCACAAGAGATGAATATGGCAAGGAGGAAGACATGTTGTATCTGAAATCATTGGATATTTACCTCTAACCCATTTTATCAACCGCTTATTGTCCCGACACTTTTAGACATACATGTTGATTAACCCCTGATCTCCCACATCCGCACCTTGCCGGCATTGTTGCCAATGGCGAGAATGCTGTTATCGGCGCTGAAGGCAACGGCGGAAATTCTACCCAATGGTGTTTGCTCTGTAGGCCAGTTGCGGTAGACAGTGCAGCTGGGAAGGTGCACCAACCTCAGCGCATCCTTCTTGAGATTGCTTCCGAAGACCATCAGCTGTCCGTCTGGCGAGAAGGACAAAATAGTGATGGCTGTGGTCAACTGCTCGAGTACTCTCGCAGGTGTAGGAAGCTTCTTGATCTCCACATCCTTCTTGTCCTTGCTAGCAACCAGCAGCTCGTTCCGGTCATAAATGTTGACGATCCCGCTGCTGTTGCCAACGGCAACCCATCGATCCTCTCCAATCGCCCTGGGACCATGTCTGCCACCCATCGCCAGGACAGTACCGCCAATAGACCCTTCATCCCTCCACACTCCCACCGTTCTCTTGGACTCCAAGCTCCACTCCGCAACCTGCCCATCCCTTCCAGCAATCGTCAAGCCCTCCCCACTGCTCCACCACTGGAAATCAGCAATACCCCCCCTCCCATCAATCCTCGCCTGCGCAACCCACTGCATGGTGGCCGCATTAAGAATATTCAGCATACCGCCCCCCTTCTTATCACTCGCCGCAACCGCCATCCACCTCCCACAAGGACTAGCCCTAAACCTCTCCATAGTCTTATGCTCCTTCTGATGCCCCGCAATCTTGCTGATCTTCTTCACCGCACCCGTCGCCAAGTTCCAGCTGTGGAAATACTTCCTCCTACCAGCAAACACCACCTCCTCCCCCTGCCCCTCCCCATCCTCCCCCTTCACACTCAAAAATGCCGCCCTCCTCAAGTCAGTCCTCCTAACCTGCACCGAAGTCAACATCGGATTCGGCGTCGGATACGCCGCCGCATCAACATGATGCAAAAACATGACCGACGAGACACTCGTGCTCAGCAGAATAGGATGCCTAGGGTGAAACGCCAAACAGCTCACCCCCGCCTTGTGCGTATCAGGAATATCCCTCGTCCGCTGGATATCCAACGTCTCCGGGCGCAACTTCCTCCTCTTGGACAACCTGGTATCATCATCCTCAGCAAAAGCATTGACATCCCTTAGAAACTGCTCCAAAGGCAAGGCATCCTCGTAATCCCCCCCCTCCTCATCACTATCCGCCTCCTCCCCAGAAAGCCCACTTTCGTCCGACCCACCCGCAGCAGAAGACCTCCTCCTCCGTCTAGTCTTCTTCTCCGCCGCCGGCCGCGCCCACTCAGGGACGGGGTACATCCTCATATACTGCGCCCTCAACCTTTGGCTATACTCAGTCCCATTAACCACATCCTCCCCCTCAAACTCCCTCAACTTCCTCAACCTCCCCACCCCAGCAAGCGAAACAGTCAACCTCTCATCATCACTGTCCTCCCAAGCAGGCTTGTCAACCACCGCTTCTTCCGCCTTCTTCTCGGCATGCGCGATGACACCCTCCCCTCCACCGACGGTGTCAACCATGAAAAGCATTGAATCGTCCACATTCTTGAACTGATCATTGACCTCCTCCTTGTCCGCCGCGACAGAGACAAGAGCCTTGGAACCGGTGACGTCCGGAAGGAGAAAGTCATCACCCGCGAGGAGCTTGGCGCGGAAGTCGTCGGCGGATTTGGTCCCCAGGACGAGGCGCTCGAGGTCTTCTTCGTCGGAGTCTTTGACGAGGTTGATTTCTTTTTGTTGTGGGGAGCGGTCGGATTCATCGTCGTCGGAGCCGCTGGAATCGGAGGCGACGTCGGACATGGAGATGTCGTCTTCTTCTTCTTCTTCCTCGTTGGAGAATTGGGCGAAGGAGCCTTCCTCTTCGGAGGAGGGGTCTTCTTTTTGTTGTTGGCGTCGGCGGGACATTTTGGAATGTGTGGTGGTTTTTTTTTTTTTTGGTGGAAATATGGTTGGGATATCGCGTGGGATTCTTGGAGGAAGCTTTCCTGCAGCGAATGCGACTGCACAAGTTGCGATCACTTTTTTTTTTTTTGTTGCTTGGGGAAGTTTTTCGTAGCCTTGCAGGTTTGGCGTGGGAAGGGGGGTCCACTTTGTAAGTTTTTAGTGGGGTAGGTTTTGCTTGGCGGTCAGCCTTGTTACTTGCTAGGTCTTTGACATTGTGAACATGAGGTTGGGGGCTGGTGAGAGAAGTATATTTATCATATGAAATACCTTGATGAGGACTTTGATTTTCCTAGCTACAGTAGCCTCAATGATAAATTGAAAAGATAGGTGGCCAAGAAAACAGGTTGGAAGCCCTTCTGTCTACCAAGGCTTCATTATGCTTTTGCCTTTGGCTGAAGTATAAAAAAAAAGATGGCAGCACAGAACAACTCAGACTTGATCTGAACAAGTACCTTGCGTACTAAGAACGAATACAGTTCCGCCTATGCCATCTACACCACTAAGGGAGTTAATGTTTGCCTATCTTGAAAGAATCCGTAGGAAGGTGGTATATGTTGCCCCGACCACAGAGCACTTGGCCATATAATTTCCTGGTGTTATCGCCCCACGTATTTGTCATCGCTCAATCTTTTCAATCTCATTATATTCCTTTCATATCTCCTCACAACTATATATACAACCCCATTAGGCCTCCAGAAATAACCAAAAAAACATCCCAACCCGCCCCTACCTGAACCCCAGGGTATCACCACTCACCTACAACAAAACCACAACCCCCAACCCCAACCCAACCAACCACCCCAATCCCACCTTCAACCCCCCCGCGCCACTCCCCAACCCACTCCCACTCCCAGCCCCAGGCCTCACAGGCCCTAACCCATCCCCATCCTCATCCCCACTAGTCTCCAGCACCGTCGCATCCCCCGGCGCAAACAAAGCCCCCATCTCATCCGCCCCCTCCCTAACCTCCTCCCATTCCATCATTCCATTCTCCAATTCCTCACAGCTCGGCCTAGCAACCCCGTTCGGCGCCTCCTCCCCAATCCGATTCGTCACCGAAATCGGCACATCAAACACCGTGTAAAAATCCTCACCGTTCAACCGAAAGCTCTGCCTGATGCTCACATTGTACGCCCCTCTCACGCTGTCGAGTGTCTGAGGCTGGCCGTCGCCAACAAGACAGTCGGGCCAGATCCACTTGACGTGCTTGACTGTCGAGCCAGGTTCCTGAAACAGAATATTGCCCAGGGAGGCGTTCTCGTTGAAGTTGGAGGATGTGGCGGTTCCGTTTGTGATGGTGAAATTTTTACCGGTGGCGTAAGAGGAGAGAAAGATGGAGATGTTGTGGATTTGGGAGGGGGAGTCTGGGGAGTAAGGGGGGAGGGGGAGGCGGCCGTTGGTTGTGATGTCGAGGGAGATTTCTATTAGATCTGGGCAGGGGGGGTTAGTAAGGGGGGGTCAGGAAGAAAAGGTGGGGGGGAGACAAACCGCCTCCTAATGGGGTGCCTGGTTGAGGTGAGTTGAGGACTGCCAGGCCCGGGGTGAAGATTTGACCGCCTGCTATGGTGAACTCCAGGGCGGTTGTGGAAGCAGAGGTGAGGAGCAGACCTAGGGCTGCCTGTTTTAGGAGTGACATGATGATGAATTTGTTTCTTGATGATTTCAAAACAGCGCGGCTGGTAAAAGCGAAAAAGAGTTCTGAAGTTAAAAGGAGTGACAAGAATGAAGGAGGGTTTGCCGGCAAAGAACTATTTAGCCAACATACAAAAATCCAGGAAAGGAGAGAGAAAAGAAACAAGGAAACAACGGAAAAGTCGGGAAGCAAAAAAGAGGATCACTAGATCCCGCGTGTGTTGCGGTATGAACTGAGATATAATAAGAGCGAGATTACCAGGAAGGACTTAACCCACTCGCCCGCTCACGACACATAAGCGAGCTGTCTTCTCTTGGGTGCGGGTGAAGTGAGAGAATGGTGTCCTGTTTCTTGCGGGTTTCTTGAAGAGGTGTGATGAGGGAGGAGTCATGCAAGATTCACCGGATGGATTGTGAACCGGCGCCCCCAAAAGCACGGGCATGGCGCTGATACGCAGAGAGGCCATCTCTGGTTTTGAAGGAGGAAGAGACGTCAAATCTGGATACAACAGTTTCGATGGAGTTCATGCAAGGGTTGGCGCATGCTGGGCGGGTTTCAGATTGGGAGGGGTGCCGGGTTGGGGTTAGCTTTGGTTTTTGGGGTGGTGGGGTTGGAGGGTTAGATAAGCTGAGGTTGGCGCCGAGTGGGTGAGCATAAGATGGAGGAAAGAACAACTTTGGTTGAGGATTGGTGGCTGATTTATTATGTCAAAGCTTGAAATATATGAGAAAAAAGACTACTACGCTTACGTCTCAACTCTTACGACTATTCTACAAATCACATATTCAGTTGTCGCCATCAGAACATACACATGCAACAGATCTGTTAGCAAATGCAGCTTCTCATTGGCCAAAGCTACCCCTGTCTAACCATTACTAGGTTCTCCGCTGTCTTTGAAGCTGCTCTCACCTCACATAACCTCTCACAACAGTTTCTTTGACGAGCCAAATACAACTATTTTCTTGACAACTTTTTGCATTCTAGGTTGAATATAAACCATTTTCATTTCACTTGGCTCATTCATTGTTCTCATAGTAGCTTTTCTTACTTTGGATTATAGGCAGCAGGGAGGCCCCTCCAAGCTAGCCTACCTTCTTCAGCTCACTCCTAGGTACTCAAAATGGCACTCACCCGCCCCCTCTCCAAACTCCTCCCCAAACGACCCCTCCTATCGACGCCTTCCCGCCGGCCCTACCTCACCTCCTCCACCCCCTCCCACTCCTGGCTCAGAATCCACCCCGAAGTCTCCTCCGCCGTCAGATCCAACACCCCCCTCGTAGCCCTCGAATCAACAATCTACACCCACGGCGCCCTAGGCAATGACCTCAACCTCGAGCAAATCGTTCGCGACCACGGCGCCATCCCCGCCGTATGCGGCATCTACGCCGGCCAAGCCACCGTAGGCCTCACCCCAGAAGAGATCACCACCATGTGCGACCAGGGCGCCAAAAAGGTCTCCCGCCGCGACCTCGCCTATCTCATCGGTCAGGGTATCTGCGGCAACAAGATCCACGGTGGAACCACCATTGCCGGAACCATGATTCTCGCTCGGCAGGCGGGGATCAGGGTGTTTGGAACGGGCGGGTTGGGTGGTGTTCATCAGGGCGGGGAGAACACGATGGATATCTCTGCCGACTTGACAGAGTTGGGGAGGACGAGGGTGGCGGTTGTGAGCAGTGGTGTGAAGGGGTTTTTGGACATTCCAAAGACGCTTGAGGTTTTGGAGACGCAGGGGGTGCTGGTGGCTACTTTTGCTGACGGCAAGGACCAAAAAGAGGTGGATTTCCCGGCTTTTTGGGCGAGGGAGAGCGGGGTCAAAAGTCCGGCTGTGGTGTGGGATGAGAAGGAGGCTGCGGCCATTCTTTTGGCTCAGGAGAAGTATGATATTGAGACGGGAATGTTGTTCGTGAACCCGCTGCCGAAGGAGTTTGAGATCCCGAGGTCGGAGATGGAGGAGGTGATTAGGATTGCTGTGAAGGAGGCGGAGGAGAAGGCGCCGGGGAATGAGAATACTCCGTTCGTGTTGAGGAGGATCAGGGAGTTGACTGATGGGAGGAGTGTGATTGCGAATAAGGCGCTGGTGAGGGATAATGTGGCCAGAGCGGCCAAGATTGCGGTTGAGTTCTCCAAGCTAGTGGATGGCAACCCGGTCACGGTTGGGATGGCTTCAGCAAGCAATGCGACAGTTACGCAGCAGCCTACTTCTTCCAAGGCCGAGACCAAGCCTAGAGTGGAGAAGCCAAAGGCAAGTAACTAAGACATCAGGGATGCATTGAAAAGAACTGACTGACTTGAACTAGGCTGATCATACTGTGGACATTCTCGTTGCTGGGTCAGTCGCTCTTGACTTGAACTGTGACTATGCAGGTGGCGGAAAGACGGTTTCGCCGGCGCTCAACACATCCAACCCAGCTTCCATCAGTCAGTCTGTGGGCGGTGTGGGTCATAACATTGCCATTGCCGCCCACAAGGTGAGCGAGGAGAACAATGTCCGGCTCTGCAGTATGGTTGGCGATGACATGTAAGCCTACTCTCAACTTAATTCACCTACTAGTACGGTTGTTAATCCTGATTCTAGTGCCGGATCAACTATCCTCTCCTCCCTTTCTGCTGCCGGCCTAGACACCTCCTACATCCGCGTCCTCGGCCACGAGTACCCCTCCGCGCGAACAGCCCAATACGTGGCCGTCAACGACGCCCACAAATCCCTGGTCCTCGCCATGGCCGACATGGCCATCATCTCCACCCACTCCTTCCCCAACTACTGGAACTCAGCCGTCAACGCCTCCAAGCCAAAGTGGATGGTCGTCGACGCCAACTGGGCTGAACATGACATCCAGACCTGGATCCAGGCCGGCCATAAGCACAACGCCAAAATCGCTTTTGAACCAGTCTCGGCCGCCAAAGCAGCGAGGTTATTCCCCAAACTGAAAAACCACCACAAGAAGCCAGAACTGGGTCTTTTCCCTCGCCCGAGCGTCCATCTCTCCACTCCCAACCAATACGAACTACTGGCCATGTATGAAGCCGCCAACGAGAACGGGTACCTCGATACGCACAACTGGTTCCCCATCATCGACGCGTTTGGCATCATGCGCGGGGCTAGGGAGCAGTTTGTTGATATTGCTGGTGCTGCTGCCACGGACGCGGGTATTCCGGTGCAGAGCGTGAATCTCCTGCCTTATATCCCAACCATCATCACCAAGCTCGGTTCCAGCGGAGTGCTGCTCACGACTTTGTTGGAAAAGGGCGATCCTAGGATTAGAGACCCTGAGCATGCCCGGTGGGTTGTGAGCAGGACCTTGAGTGATCATCCTAGTGTTGGGGGGGTTTACATGAGGATGTTCCCGGCGGCGGAAAGGGTCAAGGAGGAGGATATTGTGAGCGTGAATGGCATCGGGGATACGTTTACTGGTGTGTTGATTGCTGGGTTGGCGAGGGGTGGTGAGGTGGAGGAGTTGATTGATATTGCCCAAAGGGCGGCCGTGTTTACGCTCAAGAGTTCAAAGGGGGTCAGCGATGAGGTTGCGGGATTGAGGTCGGAGCTGAGACGGATTGTGGCTAAGCAATAGGGTGGTTTTGGAGTTGAGAGCAAGTTCAACTCGGTAGGTCAGCTACCCACCTACCTGGGACAAGTCATAGTCATCATCGTGACTTGGCTATAACTTTGTATATAAGATGCGAAGCCATGCCGCACCATTGAACAGGTACAACGAATCCCGGTTCCCAACCCCGGTCCGAGTAGCTATCACATTCACATGGCTGCGGTAACCTTCGGTGTGGCTGAATGAAGGCGTAACCTAAACATGGCCGTCTGAGTGTGCTTCCACAAGCTGTCCCAAACTGAAACAAAGAACAAACCCACCAACATTCCACCTTTTACCCCTTTGGGACCAAAACGAACCTTCTTCCCCAGGTTTTAGAAACCTCCAAACTGGAGTTTCCCCGCATTTTACCAGGGGGTCAACACACGAGCGGGAGGAGAAAGAAAGCGTGAACCTCGGCAGGCTATCTCCTCCCCCGCATTTCGATCGCCGTGCTATACCCAACGTAGAATCTTGGCAATGAATACATAGACAAGGGGTGGTGAGCTGAACCTTGGAGCTGTGTGGGATGATACCTCTATGAAAGAAGAGGAGCCCCCATCTCAGGCACACATTAATCCAACCTTCCACACCTCATCTTCACCGTCGCTACCATCATCAACAAAGTGACAAAATGCCCTTCCACGCCGGCATGCTCCCCCGCGAGGGGTTCAAAGGCGATGCTTTGATCTCCCTGATCAAGAACACAGCCTTCAACCCCAAGATCCTGCTGCCACTGTTCCTGCTGGCAAAATACACCAAGCAAGGCCAGGATCTCACCAGTCTTGCACCCGAACCAGGCATTTGCCAGAGTCAGAAAGCTGCTCATCTTGAGCCTGCTAGGTTGGGGAAACAGCTGGTTGACGAGAAAGGTGAACAACAGCTGGGTAGACGACAAGTACGACTGGACTGGTATGCTCCCCTTCCGCCCCCCCCCCCCTAATCAACATCACCTAACATACTCCCTCCAAAAACAAAAGGCAAAGAAATCGTCGTCGTAACCGGCGGCTCCGGCGGCATAGGCGGCCTAATCGTCCAACTCCTGGCCGAACGCTCCATCAAAACCGTCGTCCTCGACATCCAACCCCTCACCTTCCACCCCGGCCCCACGGTAACCTACTTCAAATGCGACCTCACCTCCCCCTCCTCCATCGCCCACGTCGCCTCCCTCATCCGCGCCCAGGTCGGCAACCCCACCGTCCTCATCAACAACGCCGGCGTCGTCCAAAACAAGTCCATCCTCGCCTCCACCCCGCGTGACGTGCAATTCACCTTTGACGTGAACCACTTCTCCCACTACTCCACCGTCCGCGAGTTTTTGCCTTACATGATCGAGAAGAACCACGGGATGGTGGTGACGGTGGCGAGTTTTGCTGCTTGGGTGAGCGTGCCGAATATGGTTGACTATGCAGCCTCAAAAGCGGCGGCGCAGAGCTTCCATGAGGGGTTGACGGCTGAGATTAAGACTACTTACGGGGCGGAGAGGGTTAGGACTGTGGTTGTTAATCAGGGGTATACCAAGACTGCGCTGTTTGAGGGGTATCATAATGATAGTCCGTTTTTGCTGCCGGCGCTGGAGCCGGGGAGTGTGGCTGAGGCGGTTGTGAGGCAGGTGCTCAAGGGGGAGAGCGGTCAGGTTATTTTGCCAAAGATGGGGAATATGCTGCCTTTTCTGGGGGGCTTGCCGGGGTGGTATGCGGGTCGGTTGAGGGTGAAGGGGGTGGGGATTATGAAGCAGTTTAGGGGGAGGAAGGTGGTGGAGGATGTGGAGAAGTTTTATGAGGAGAAAGAGAAGAAGGAGGAGAAGGGGGTTGGTGAGAGTACGGTGCTTGTTGAGTAAGGTAGGCGGAAGTGGTTGCTCTGGCGATGGGGGTGGGTGACGTTCATAGTAGCGGAGTACCTAATCTCAGGGGTAAATATTTTTGTTGACTTGAAACAAGCACGCAGGCGGAATTTTTTTTTTAAATCTGCCAGCCTGGTGGTTTCAGGTGTTGAAAGGCAGGAGCGTTTGTCAAGGTTGACCCACAGGACCGAGGGCTTTGTTCGAGGTTGACTCACAGGACCGAGGGCTTTGTTCGGCAATAATCATGTAGGACAGAAGAAACGTGACCGAGAACAAGGCACGAGGAAATTTGTGACAGTGTTTTCTTACTTGTGTTACTGAAAATTTTGACTTAATATCCTAGGGCGTTTCAAAGACAGCCTGTCATTCCCAAGGATGCCGAATCTGGGGCCCGTTCCTTAAGGGCCCAACGTCTTGGTAACGGGACGGGCCGTCTACCGGTAGTTGGATATGGTTAGCGAGGAATGTAGGGTGCATTCCAGAGCTTTGATATCCATTCCAGTGGGCCAATGTGACATGTAATTCAACATCGTGAACTATATCGAGCTGTCTAAAACTGCACATCGTCTAGAAGATGCTCTTGGTGGCTGATTTTGCTAGCTGAAACAAGTGTAACTTGAAGAGGCTCTTGAGAGGAAGAATCCATAAGCAAAACACTCGTGGGTGTGAATGCACAACGAAGACCTCGGATGAATACCAACCGCCTGTAATAGCAGTTGGCTATGTTACTAGATAGCGGAGTCAGTCCTGCCTGTGACAACGTATTCTTGCTATTGTTCTATTCAACTTGCTTCAGATTTTATTGTTTTTTGCGTGCTCACCGTGACTGCCTTTCGTAATCATCTGAACTTCTACAACACGGTGACCCTTTATTTCAGGCAACGATTATTGTGAGTTTACGGACGTACAGCAGGAGGCGATAGACTTGATGGAAAGGCCCACATATTTATTGAGGGAAAGCCCACCCAAGCTGCTTCATAGGACCATAACGCGTACACCTGTCTGGTATCAAGACTAGACGCTCCTTTGTTGACTCGGTGACTGGCACCTTCTGGCTAAAGTCTTCACCGTCTGAAGTTGATCTTAGCAGCCGTAGCAGGGACAGTCACGCAGATAATGCTCACACGTGGCCAGGACAATCGGAAGCTAAAACGAGGCAGTTGTGACAGCTGGAAATATCTATCTATATATTCCAGTGTTGCTTTTTCCGGCCTGGACTTTTCTTTTCCTTCTACACCCAAAACCTCATCATCCTCCTTGATCTTGACAGTCTCACCTCGCTACACCTTCAGCAAATATCTCCAGATTCCTACCTCTTCAGCTTCATCCATCACTAGTATCGTTTTCAGTCTCCTTTCAGGCCTCTAGATCAAGTAAACAAACCACCTAGGAGCAACGACAACAATATGAACACCATGACCGTCAAGAGCACTCTTTTCCTCGCTGGCCCAGCTAGCCAGAACCTTCATCACGATGATGAGGTTGACAACATCGTCATGACCAAGGCTGAGGCCAACGTGGGCTGGTCAGGCTGTAGCAAGCTTTTTGCCAAGCAGAAGACGAAGACTCGCAAGCAGCATCGCTCTAACAAGAAAGCCTTGCTTCGAGTCTTTGATGTCAACTCTGATAATGAATTCATCAGCTATGATTCTGAGGCCTAATCGGTTCTGAGGACCTCGTCAAACATTTCATGAAGAATAAAAGGTATAAATAAAACAACATCACACATCAGGAAAAGACGTGTTGTGTTGCTAACATCTACATATACAAAAAAGAAAAAAAGATGCAGATTGCACATCGACGTCGACTGGCCCCAGGATGCGGCCTGCTTCCCGATTAGGAAAGCTTAGGATCCGGTGTAAGTCAGCCCATCACCCCTTACCCACCAAAACATCATCACGGACCAACAGCTGACCAACTGCTTCTGATACCCAGTCTTGCCTTTCAGCGCGTCTACCTCCTTTTCAGTCTCTTCTCATTGCGATAAAAATGAAAATCACAAAAACAAATGATGTCCCTGCTCCTTTTTATGAGCGTCACGATCCTTTGATGATCGTTTCAAGCACTCGATCTCAGCACGATCCCAGACAGCATCCCGAACACCGTCAACACACGAAGATGAGGGCCTGCATGAGCCGCAGTGGAGAAGGAATTCAAGATGGAGGAGGCCAAGACAACTTCCTCGGCTGGTGGAGTGTCTCTTTTCTCTTGCTGGTAAATCTTTATCCCCAAAACCTTTTCTACGATTTTACTGAAATGGAATTCCTGACTCTGTCTCCTGACTCTGTCTTCTGATATCAACAGGCGCACGAAACCTCTCCTCTTTTCTTTTTCTTTTACTCATTTCGATTTGACGACACATCAAAATACCCATTCCGTTTTCTTCTTTCTCTCGACATGGCATGGCATGGAGCGTGGACAGCATAGGAAAAGGAGAAACAAGCATAGAGATGGGGTGTTCTGGTCAGGGTTAACAGGGTTCATTATTCATCATTAGCGCGCGGTTTATGTAGTTTTTAGGGGGTTTATTATAGTCATGGGTTTTTATGATAGCGGCTTAGAGGCAGTCAACCTTTTGCAAACAAGGCTGAGGAATGCAAGTCTCCTGTCTGTTGTTGAAGAAAGTGATATGTCAATGTCTCGGTTTGAATGACTCGCTTATCTCTCTCTGTGCGTTGAATGAGAGAGCGAGCCAATTGGATAACACGCATATTAGAAAGGGAATTTCGGGATAAGAAGAGCGGTCAGTTCGGAGCCCCGAGCCTCACCATTGAGGGGAGGTCAATGGGTCTTGGTATCGAACGATGTTTGCGACAGCACTATCCAGATTACAAACAAAGTGACACGATGATCTGCTCTGATCTGCTGAGGGAGGGGAATGTACACGTCGATGGCTGCCAGATTGGGATTGGGAGGGGAGTGCACTTTTCCCTCCAGAAGTTCTGGAAGAGTGAAAAACACCAAGGGAAAAGTCATGTCCAAAGAGAGAAATTAAGATGCAATTGTCAAATCGACTTGTTCATAATCAAGAGTTTTCCCATATCTTGGCAACGGTTTGTGAGGAACTTCTAGATGGAGCCCAGTGCCCCGCGGTGGTGGTCTGGAGGGGTGGCGCCAGACTGGCCTGTGCGTCTTTTGTGGGCTCGCCCCATGGTTCCGTGCCGAGTGGTCTGGGCCTCAGCGGTGTCAACCAATCAAGAGGGGCTTATGAGAGCCCCTTGGGCGCCGCGGCGGCCAGATCAGATCATCCGCTGTGTTGAATCAGCCCACCCATGCTGGAAGCTGCATCGCAACATGGCATGTCAAACGGGTATCCGCACACCAGCCAAAACTTCCCACCTCGAACTCAACAGGAATTGGTGACGCCATGTCTCTTTTCCGCATCTTCCCTAAAGATCCAACTGGCTGAGAGCACAGGAATCACGGCCTCAAAACTCTAGGCACGCCTGTCCAAGACCCCAAGAACAGGGCAACACCCTCTGGCGTGATATCCACTAGCTTCTACCTTACCTTAGCTGTTGCAGATCTCTCGTCCCACCATCGCTTCCTCGCCCTCGCCCTCGCCCTCGCCTTACATCCACATGCACCACAGAAGACCACACACGCACACAACCGACAGTGGCACTCTCTCCGTCCCAACCCCGACGAAAACTGTGAACCACCCACAACAGACAGCGTTGCAGAGAATCTGGAAACGAACGAATCTTGCAACTGACCACCCAGATCCTGTCCCAGCCGACTGGTCCGCCCATTCCCAACCCAACCCTCCCGATCAGTGCCTCCCAGGTATCTGTCTGTCTGTCTGTCCAATCCGATTCCGATCCACTACCTTCTAGACACTCCGTTTCACCTATTGCGGTGCTCTCCATCCTTCACTCCCCCCGCCATCCCCCGCCAACCCTGCGCCTCGCGTGCGGTCAGCGCCGTCCCACCCTACTGTCACCGAGACCTGTCAACTCCCCCCCCCCCCCCCCGCGGCCGGCTGTACATTGGGTCCCCAAGGACGGATTCCCTTTCTCGGATGGTGTTCGAAACCCCCAGCAACGACCTTCCCAGCGGTTTAAGGACGGAAGGCCCTCTGCAACCACCCCGCCAGACCCCCTTTTTCCTGTCCCCGTCCGTTCCTCCCCCGAGCCAACCCCCCAGCGGTTCGCCAGCCGCCATGGCTCCCGCCGCTGTTCTCGAGAAGCCCACTGAGAACCAAATCAGTGAAGACCGCATGGAGACTGCCGAATGTGTCGACCGCCTCTCCCTGCTGAGGAGCATGCCTGAGGCGGCCATTGAGTGCCAGGTGTGCGTTGTCGGTGCTGGTCCGGCCGGCTTGATGCTGGCAACCAACCTGGGCCGTTGGGGTATCAAGGTAGAGGTGGTGGATGACAGGGCTGACCAAACCCCAGTGGGAAGGCAAGTTTGATTCCTTGTTATTCTTGTTTCCTGTTGTCTGGGTTGGGTTGCGCCGTATTGGAAGTTTCATGAATCCTAACACCTCCCTCCAGAGCTGATGGCCTGCAACCAAAAACGATTGAGACTTTCCGGCAGATGCGACTGGCAGATCCCCTGCTCCAGCGCGGCGTTCGAGTCTACGATATTGCCTTTTGGCGAAGTACACCGGAGGAGCCCCTTCATCGACTCGGCCGCGAAGTCCACTACCCACCCGTGATTGATGTGCTGGACCCATATATTCTTTTGGTGCACCAGGGCATGGTCGAGGCTCTGTTTATTGAGGATCTGAAGAAGCGCGGTGTCGAAGTGCGGAGGAATCACGCTTTCGACTCGTATAGCGTCTGTGACAGCAAGGGTGGGCCGCTCCAGGTCAATTGCCGTGCGAACGTGACACAAGACCGGAAGACGCTGCTGACACAATATCTTGTTGGCTGTGGGTGACTTTCTTTTTCTTGTTTCCGAGTCTACAAAAACATCAGATGAAAAACTGACTGTGATATCTCTTCTCATAGGCGATGGCGCGCATTCAAAGGTTCGAAAGAGCATTCCTGATG